CCTGCACAGGCTTAATCCCTGTGCAGAAATTTCTTGTTTCCCTTTTTTTAAGTCTTGTTCACTGCCTTTAATAAAATTATTTTTGTTTTATGTGTATGAGTGTTTTGCCCACATGTATGTCTGTGTAAAACATTCATGTCTGTAAGCAATGAGGTCATTAATGGTTTTGGGTCCCCTGGAACTCGAGTTACAGACTGGTGTGGGTCTCCATGTGGGTGCTGGGAACTGAATCCTGTTGCTCTGCAAGAGGAGCCTGTGCACTTCTGGCTGAGCATCTCTCCAGCCCTGCATCTGCTTTATAAGCAATCATAGGGCAAGCAGCTTACTAGTAGGGGTGATTCATGACCCTTGGGGCTTGACCTTTTGAGGGAACTTTACACTGACATTGGGACTGGTCTCTGTTCAAAACAGAAAACTAGGAATCTGTGTGCCATCAACCAGGGGAGGACCATGGCAGACTGCAGGATTAGGCTAAACGGTCAGCGTCAACCCAGGATAGAAATGTTCAGTGTCGTATGACCTGTGATTAAAGTGGTCTCAGCTCTCCCAGCCTTAAGTGGGGGAGGGGGTCACGATTTCCTCTTTCTGCCTCGTGTCAAGTAAGACTGTGATCTTCCTACTTCGGTCCATCCTAGGCTCCCAGGGTCATGGACAGGCTCAATGGCTTGGTTGCCACCACTTGTTCAGGTCTGCGTGTCTGGTGCACAGCTGCCAGTGACATGCATCCCAGGGACTTTGTCACCTTGAGTTCTGGTGTTTTCTTATTGCAGGATGGTCTACGCCCAGCCAAAGATGTTAACACCCAGGTGAGTAGATTTAATCAGTGCATGTGTAGTGCAGGAGTCGCAAAGGTACAGAAGGACGATTTGCTTGCTCTGGGAAATAGTTCAGCAGCATACCTGATACCCTGGGTCAGTCTCCAGCACTGGAAAAACAAAAAACCCAATTATGATTCTCTTTGCACGCACTTCATCAACCATTTCCGAGACTTAAGGTTGTCTGATTCTGGAGCCCAGAGCTTCTTCTGATCTCATTTCCCATCTGGGCTTCTGTTCATTGTTTCCTGTTTCTGTCACCAGAGATTTCAGAGATGTGGTGGCTGCAGTGGCAGTAAACTCAGTTGCTTTTAGAGTGGGGTTGGGGTAGTCAGTGAGAGCTGTTGATTGGCCCAGCCCTCACTCAGGGATGGTGGCAGCCCTGGGGGAAGCAGAGGGTGAGAATCTAAGAAGGGTTCCTGCAGATGTGTTTGGTCACATGTTGCCTGTGGCTTTCTCCCCTTGCAGTAGAGAAGATGTCCTTGTCTTGACTCCGTGGCTGGCTCCCATCATCTGGGAGGGGACCTTCAACATCGACATCCTGAATGAGCAGTTCAGGCTTCAGAACACCACCATTGGACTGACTGTGTTTGCCATCAAAAAGTAAGCAGAGGGTGCTGGAGAGATGGCTGAGGATAAAGTACTTTCTCCAGGGACGTGAGGACCTGAGTTTGATCCCTGACACCTATGTAATGACTAGGCATGGAGTCACACCCCTGTAATCCCAGTACTGAGGGTGGAGGGGAGAGACAAGTGGATCCGGGCAGCTTTCTGGACAGCACAGGCAAACATTGAACTTCAGAGTTAGAGAAGGGACCCTGTCCAAAGAACAGAAAGAAATGACAGAAGAAGACACCCAAAGTCAACTTTTGGCCTCCACATAGGCACACAGGCAAGTAAAGATGAACATATACAATGGGCAGGCACACACATGCACACATACAATAGTCAGGGTGGACGCCAGTCATACCAAGCTCTATTCTTGTATTTAATATGAAGCAGGTGTGGGGCTGGTTCACTCTGTCACCCTGGTTAACTCTAGTGGGCTCAAAGGGGAATGAATCCAGCTGTGACACCTACCAGAGCCTCAGACCAGCTGTCCCTCGCTCTGTGATCCTAGCCAGGTGCTATCTTCACCAGTCAGCACACACTACACACTTCAATGTATACTTATTCCCAGGTCTGGCGGCAAGGGACGGAACGTCCGCAGAGCTGAAGCCACTCATGGTGTACCAGGCTTTCCTTCTTAGGCCTCCACCAGCTCACAAATCATGACCTGGAGACGTAGTATTAGTTTTGAATGCTTGACTTAGCTTACCTCTTATTTTAATGTGTTTCTCTTTATCTACTTTTTGCCGTGGGGCTTTTTTTTTTTTTACCTTTCTACATTCATTCATCTGTTTGTTCCTTCCTACCTAACTTCCCCCCTTCCTTCCTTCTTTCTTTTCTTCCTTCCCTTTTCCCTTTCACTCTGTATATCTTACTTTCCTGCTGCCTGGTGCCCGGCCCTGGGCATGTCTTTTTTTTTCTCCCTTGTTTTGTTTTCTAATTCCTCCTCCTCCTTATTCTTCTCCTCTTTCTCCTTCTCCTTCTCCTCTTTCTCCTTCTCCTTCTCCTTCTCCTTCTCCTTCTCTTCTTCTTCTTCTTCTTCTTCTTCTTCTTCTTCTTCTTCTTCTTCTTCTTCTTCTTCTTCTTCTTCTCCTTCTCCTTCTCCTTCTCCTTCTTCTCTTGTTCTCTCCTATTTATTCCCTCTGCCCAGCAGCCCCACCTAACCATCTTTTGCCTAACTATTGGTTGTTCAGTTTACATTAGAACAATCAGGTGCCTTAGGCAGGCACAATGAAACATATGAACACATCTTTACATAATTAAACAAATGCCACATAAACAAGTGGAACACATCTTTGCATAGTTACAGTGATATCCACAGCAGATGTGTCCTCAGATGCAGGACAAGGGGGACAGCAAAGGTTGGGTCAAACCTTTAACCTCAGCCTTGTGGGTGGAGAGCGGCAGACCTGTAAAGCCCTGAGACCCTGGGTCAGGCTGACTTTAGGTCGCAGACAAGAATCTTGCCCTGTGGAAGCCTGCAGAAGCAGGACAGAGTGGCATCACAGTGTAGAAGGCTGTGGAGGGCTGAGAGCTTCCTTTGTGCGGCCTGCGGATGAGAAGGAAGGAGCTTTATCCCTCCCTGCAAGGGCTGGGTGAGACCCAATGATAGCACTGAGGCCTTTATACCCATCAGTCTTGAGAGAGGTTTGGGACTCACCTGGAGGGATCTTGGGCACCTTGAGAATGCCTGCAGTGCTAGGGACAGAGAACTTCACAGTAACAAGACACACACACACACACACACACACACACTACCTTGTCTGGGTGCTGCTGGGTACGTGAGCAAGAGCCCTGCCAGGGGTGGGTAGGTGCTTGGTGGGAAGAAGGCCTCTGAGGGAACTAGCATGGCCACCTTGGCATAAAGACAACAGACATGTCTACCTGTATTCTGCCATGGTCCGCACCATGATGATAATGGTCTGAACGTCTGAAACTGTAAGCTGCCATCTCAATGAAATGTTTTCCCTTATAAATATCTCCATGGTCATGATGTCTCTTTACAAAAATAAAAACCCTAAGTAAGACAGAAGTCTTTTGCCTTTGGACCAGAAGGTTTGGCTTAGGCTTGACCTTCCACTTAGGGTGCCCGTTTCCCCTTCCCTGCCTTCTCTGCGAGACTGATTCTTGCTTGGTGGAGACCATAGGGGAAGACTCTTAGGAACATGAGAGAGTTACTGAGTATTGCCCACAGGCAACTTCAAGTCTCTTCTGAGTTAGGTCTGGGATAGAGAGAACCCTTCCTTTCCTGAGACAGGACCCTGGAGGGTGCCACAAAGGAGGGGTGCAGGTCCCAGGCCCTTAAAAATCTTCCTTGGCCCACCAGAGCTTAGAATGTGGGACCCTGTGCCCAGGCTCTGCTCAGGCCAATGCAAGGGTGTGGGATGTGAAATGTGTTGGGATGGAGGGGAGGGTGACAGACTCCTGGAGAGGTGGCCTGCTGAGGGACCTGCTGAGACAAGAGATACCTGTAGGACATCGACCTGGATCCCCATGACTGGAGTCATCTCTGCTGCCTGAGTAAAAGCTTCCAAGCCTCTGCCTCAGCATTCCTTGCTAAGATGTGGTGCTGATGTTCCACCCTTCTGAGGTAAAGGAGGGTGAGGTGAGGGACAGCCTGCAGACTGCTCAGTACAGCTGTAAAGTGGGGATGTTGTTGCCTCATGGTAGCCATGGTTTCTGCAGCCTGGGCCCCTGCCCTGGTTAGTCTTGCCCTAGCTGTGTTAGACCTCTGCTTACCCCTTTGTCACCTTCCACAGGTATGTGGTGTTCCTGAAACTGTTCCTGGAGACGGCAGAGCAGCACTTCATGGTGGGACACAAGGTCATCTACTATGTCTTCACTGACCGTCCTGCCGAGGTGCCGCAGGTGCCCCTGGGGGCAGGACGGAAGCTGGTGGTGCTGACCGTGCGCAACTACTCCCGCTGGCAGGATGTGTCCATGCACAGGATGGAGATGATCAGCGACTTCTCCGAGCGGCGCTTTCTGCAGGAGGTGGACTACCTGGTGTGTGCAGATGTGGACATGAAGTTCCAAGACCACGTGGGTGTGGAGATTCTCTCAGCACTCTTCGGTACCCTGCATCCTGGCTTCTACAGAAGCAGCCGAGAGGCCTTTACCTATGAGCGCCGGCCAAAGTCACAGGCCTACATCCCCCACAATGAGGGCGACTTTTATTACATGGGGGCCTTCTTTGGGGGGTCAGTGGTGGAGGTGCACCGTCTCACCAAGGCCTGCCATCAGGCTATGGTGGAGGACAAGGCCAACGGCATCGAGGCCGTCTGGCATGATGAGAGTCATCTGAACAAGTACCTGCTGTACCACAAGCCTACAAAGGTGCTGTCCCCAGAGTATGTGTGGGACCAGAAGCTTCTGGGCTGGCCCTCCATCATGAAGAAGCTGAGATATGTGGCTGTGCCCAAGAACCATCAGGCAATCAGGAACAGATAGCTGAATTCCTATTGGAGAGGCCAGGCTTATATCCAGGGTCACTCCAGGCTGTGTGGAACTGGGAAGATTTGAGGGAGATTTATGAAGTGTTGCCATCTACCCGACATCAGGGTCTAGCAGGCCCAGTAACAAGCACTCTTGGGAAACTGAGTCAAGGTAGCACTTTCTGTGTCAACGCTGCAATGGAAGATCATTCTGTGTCATCTCTGGGACAACACCACTTTGCTGTTGTTGTTTTTATTCTTTTAGCTTTTTGGGTTGGCCTACTACCCAGCTCTTAAATAAATAAACACAGGCTTCTTATTCTTTCTAATGAATGCCTGGCCTTTGCTTGACTTACTTCTAGCCAGTTATCCTTAACTTAAATTATCCCAACTACCTTTTGCCTCTGGACTTTTTTTTTTTTGTCTTCTTACTTCTGTATATCTTACTTTCACTCTTACTCCACTGCTGACTGGGTGACTGGGTGGTTGGCCCCTGACACCCTCCTCTCCTGGTTCTGTCTTTCTCCTTCTTCTCAGGTCTCTCTTCCTATATATTCTCTCTGCCTATCAGCCCCACTTATCCTTCCTCCTCCCTTGCTATTGGCTGTTCAGCTCTTTATTAGACAAATCAGGTATTGTAGGCAGGCACAGTACTTCAGAGTTAAACAAACAAATGCAACATAAAAAGAATGCAACACACATTTTTGTATCATTTAAATAAATGATCCACATCATAGACACATGTAACACATCTTTTCGAAATTTTAGATTTTTAAAAATTCATTTTACATACCAACTACAGTACTCCCTCTCTTCCCTCCTTCTACTCCCCCTCCACTCCTCAGAGAGGGTTAGACTTCCCATGGGAAGAAAACTAAACCTGGCTTATCAAACTGAGGCAGGATCAAGTCTTTCTCCCTATCCCCTCCTATCAAAGCTGAGCAAGGCATTTGACCATAGGGAACCAAAAAGTAGTTCATGCACCAGAGATAAATTCTGGTCCCATTATCCAGGGGCCCCACACACAGACAAAGTCACACAACTGTCACCCACATTCAGAAAGAATAGTTCAGTCCCATGAAGACTCCCCAGCTGTCAGTCAAGAGTCCATGAGTTCCTACTAGCTTGGGTCAACTGTCTCTGTGGGTTTCCCCGTTATGATCTTAACCCCCCTTGCTTATATAATCCCTCCTCCTTCGCTTTGACTGGGCTCTTTTTTTTCCTATTTATTTATTTATTAAAGATTTCTGTCTCTTCCCCACTGCCGCCTCCCCTTTCCCTCCCCCTCCCCCAATCAAGTCCCCCGGACTCTTTAATCTCAGTCCGGTGCTTGGCTGTGTTTCTCTTCTGCTGCTTCCATTGGTTAGTGGATGGAGGTTCTATGTTGTCAATTAGGTAGTCACCAATCAGATAGCAGGAGAAGGCCAGTTCAGGCACTTTCTCCACTATTACTAAGAGTCTTAGTTGGGTCATCCTTGGGGATTCCTGAATGTTTCCCTAGTACCAGGTTTCTCCCTAACACATAATGCCTTCATCTTCCAAGATATCTCTTTCATTGTTCTCCTACTTCATCCCTCCCACAACTCGATCATCCCATTCCCTCATGTTCTCTTCCCCCATCCCCTCTCCTGTTCTCCCATCCCAGTTTATCAGGAGATCTTATTTATTTTCCCTTCCTAGGGAAATCCATGTGTAATCCTCTTACACTCCTCCTTGTTACCTATCTTTTCTGGGGCTAAGGATTGTAGCCTGGTTATCTGTTGGTCTTACATCTAGTGTCTACTTATGAGTGAGTACATACCATGTTTGTCTTTCTGGTTCAGGGTTACCTTACTCAGGCTGATATATTTGCCTGCAAATTTCAAGACGTCATTTTTTTTTTACTGCTGAGTAGTACTCCATTGTGTAAATGTACTACATTTTCTTTATGCATTGTTTGCTTGAAGACCATCTAGGTTGTTTACAGGTTCTGGCTATTATTAATAATGCTGCTGTGAACATAGTTGAATAGGTGTCCTTGTGGTATGATTGAGCATCCTTTAGATATATGCCCAAACATGGTATTACTGAGTCTTGAGGAAGATTGATTCCCAATTTTCTGGGAAACTGCCATACTCATTTCCAAAGTAGCTATACAAGTTTCCACTCCCACCAACAGTAGAGAAGTGTTCCCTGAAGAAGGACACTTAAAAGAAATCCCACACTAGCTCAGAATTGAGAAAAATAGAGGGTTATTTATTTAGGGATAGATTCACAGATCACAATTCTCTGCTGAAATGGGGAACAGAAACCAAATCCTACAACCAGAAAAGAGAGCTGGAAGAGAGAGAGAGAGAGAGAGAGAGAGAGAGAGAGAGAGAGAGAGAGAGAGCACTTTACAGCTGCATTTACAGTATCAGAGACCACATCCAAGTGGGCTGGTATCTTAAAAGCTATTGGCTGAAGGAGCAGAATGTGCTCCCACAGCACCTCCCCCTTTTGTTTATATAAGAGTTCCAATGGCAGACAATGAGGGCTGCTGAGAAGCCAAGAACAATGGCACTGGGTTTTGATCCTACTCCATGTACTGGCTTTGTGGGAGCCTAGGCTGTTTGGATGCTCACCTTCCTAGACCTGGATGGAGGGGGGAGGACCTTGGACTTCCCACAGGGCAGGGAACCCTGACTGCTCTTCGGGCTGAAGAGGGAGGGGGAGAGTGGGGGAGAGGGAGGGAAATGGGAGGC